ATCTTAAACTTTCTTGGGCTTATTTTCCCTAAGAAAGGACAAGGAAGAATGATAGCACAGGGAAACTCAAAAGTTCTTCTACCTGTATAGTTTTAGTCATTAGTAGAAGGGCTTTTACATATGGGAGCTAAGGCAGTGTGACAGAAAATGCATAAGATGTGGACTCAGCTAACTTGAGTATGAATCTCACCTCTCTTCCTCCTCAGTCTTATTTCCTTATGTGTATGACAATAGCATCTGCCTTACCCACCTTATGAATTGTTATATAGATCAAATAAGTAAATATGTAATGCGTGAAAGTGTTTGTTAATATAAACATTAGGCCTTATTTTTTAAAAAGATTTTATTTATTTATTTGACAGAGAGAGAGATCACAAGTAGGCAGAGAGGAAGGCAGAGAGAGATGGGGGGAAGCAGGTTCTCCACCAAGCAGAGAGCCCAATGCAGGGCTTGATCCCAGGACCCTGAGACTGTGACCTGAGCTAAAGGCAGAGGCCAAACCCACTGAGCCACCCAGGGGTCCCTAGATCTCATTTTTGTATTTAGTTCTACATCTTGCACTGAGAAAGAGATTTCAGAAAAGGTAGAATGTGTTCCAGAGACTGTTTGTTATCAGAGAAGATGCGGTATTTATAATTTATAATTTAGGACTGTGTCTTTCCTCAGCTATTGATTTGCTAAGAGTGTCACAGTTGGACAGCCCAGGTTCCTATGAACTCAGGTATCATAGGAAAAATATGTAAGAGTTCTAAACCAATTAGAAGTAGAGACTTTGACCCAAAGTCAAATAGCTATGTTGGTTGGTGGTATGTTAGAAAGAAAGGGGAAAAAAGTAGAAAGGAAAAAGAGAATCGGCTGTGCTGTAGAAAGAAACAACTTGAGATCTAGACTAACACTAAGATATGGAATATGAGCAGAAAGGAGTTGAGGGCATTGGGAATCATCATTCTGATTCTATAAAGTGTGCTAGTTAGATCTGCCTTACAGATAAAGGAAGTCCCTGTAAAAAAAAAAAAAAAAAAGACTGGTCATCAGATATAAAGAATAACACATTTGGAAAGCTTAGCCAGTAAAAATATTATGAAATTGGGCTACTAAATGTAAGGATCTCAACCTTTTTTACTGATAATTGGCTTTTATCATTATGCTATCTGAATTTTCACTGAGTAAATATGTAATGAATTTCAGATGGCTCTCTCCAAGTTTCCAGAAACAAAAAGTTGATTTGTGAAGGCCTGGCACTTTTACTTGATAGATATAAAATGGGAAAATACACATATATGTGTATGTATGTGTATATATGTGTGTGTATATGCATATATATACATACACATATATGTGTATTATACACACACACACATATATATACACACATATTTATATACACATACACTATATAAATATATATAATAAAATATAAAATAAGGAGAATGATTCCTAAGACACATAAACAAATTCATTTTTGATTTATAATCATATTATCATATAGATTATGAGCTTCATAAATAAAGATGGATCCAGGAAGCCATGCCTCTCTGAAAGATGTATGCTATGCAGCAACCACACCAGAAAGGTAAAAAAGACAGGACTAAAGCAAGACACAGTATCATTAGTAAAATGAAATTCAACGCCATTCATTAAGTATGTACTAATAACCAACTAAAATCTACGATTAGTGGGATATCAAAATATAAATTAATTTGCTTTGGTAAAATTAATCCAAATATATTTCTAATCATTTCAAATGGTATAAGCTTGTCAATTCTCCTTGTACTAAATATTATTATCTAGTTTCTGGATCAATCTTTGCTCCAAAACTCCAAGGCTGGGAACCAAGTAAGAGCACGTGAGTCCTAACAACAGCTAAAGCAAGACACTTTTGGTAAATAGCATTTACCAAGACACATGGTAAATAGCATTTACCATGAACTGGGGCCAAAAGAATTGTTATAGAGTACGTAGAAAAATCTTCTTTTACATCTTGTTATACTTTTTTATCTTACTTCTTTTGCCGGATTACCTGACTTTAACCTAGGACTAACATAAGATCTTTTTCTAAGTATATCTTTCATTGTACTGATATATCTAAATATTGTATGTATGCATATCAACAAATTCACTATCTCATTTTTTAAAGGTTTTTTTTTTTTAAGATTTTATTTATTTATTTGACAGAGATCACAGGTAGGCAGAGAGGCAGGCAGAGAGAGAAGAAGGGAAGCAGGCTCCCTGCTGAGCAGAGAGCCCCATGCGGGGCTCGATCCCAGGACCCTGGGATCACGACCCGAGCCAAAGACAGAGGCTTTAACCCACTGAGCCACCCAGGTGCCCCTAAAGGTTTTATTTTTAAGTAATCTCTACACCTAACATGGGGTTCAAACTCACAATCCTGAGATCAAGGGTCACATGCTCTACCAACTGAACCAGCCAAGCATCCCCACCATCTCATTTTTTAAATTAGATTTTTAAAATGCTGAATTTAAATGATATATGTACATTGTACTATGGAATAATTTTTCCTTTTCTTGTACTGAAATAGGAAAAGTGATTTACATTACTCCAAATCAAACTAAAAACTAAAAATTAATATTCAGAGACCAATACTACAGATCAGGATTTATACCACAAAGACAAAAATCATATAGTCTTTCAAATTAATATATCTGACTGTCTTTCTCTAATGCTCCTGCTTCACCTGCAGCACATCAGACAAGGTAATAATTTATGATAATCATATGAAAATATACAATTAATATTCATCACCTCTCATTCCTCATCACTTTAGATGATCAGTAATGCAGAGTGAAAATGCTGTCAGATTTCTAATTGCTTTGTAATGGGCTTGAAACAGGGAAATCATTAAAGGCAAACAATCTGTCATTTGTCTGTTACTTTATCTATCACACAAAAAAACTCATTAAAGAAATTGCTAATGAACTACAAAAGACTATACTCATGGTGCTTCTACAGTAGATTAACAAGTATTACTATGAATTGCTTCAAATATTTTAAAAATATGATATTTTCCAGAAATTCATCAGAAAAAACATCTATCTTCAGTATATTTTTTAAGCCATGTGGTTTCATTATTTTGGCATCTAATCCGTCATTGCAGAAGTCCCTTTAGCATATAAGATTTGTTTTTCATCAGTCTCTAAATATTCAACTGAAAGGTTGCAAGAAGAAGCTGAAATGCTAAATGTGTTTATTACTAGTAAACTGACACAAGTAAAAAAATAGTACTATAGTAACTCTAATGCTAAGTAAAGCATATATTTCAAAATTTGATTTTTACCCTCATATCTCCATGGATTTTGAACTGTTGAAGTTGCAATGTTTCATTCATCTTAATGCTATCATTATGTGAAAATTACATTCAACTATTAAAATTGACCATAATATTATGAAACTCTGCATAACATAAACTAATTTGAAATTTTGAAGATATTAACCAGTATTAAAATGTTTCATAATATTACATCAAATAATTTTAGAGGGGAACAAATAATTTCTTTTAATGACATCAAATTTTATGTCTTTATCTGTGCTACCTTTCTATATGAGATACCTAGTATTTAAAAAAAAAAACAAAACAAAACTGTAGGGACATTGGGGTTGCTCATTCAGTTAGACATCTGCTTTCAGCTCAGATCATGATCCCAGAGTCTTGGGATCAGGTCCTGCATCAGGCTCCTTGCTCAGCAGGGAGCCTGCTTCTCCCTCTGCCTGCTACTTCCCCTGCTTGTACTCTGTCTCACTCTCTCTCTCTGACAAATAAATAAATAAAATCTTTAAAAAATAAATAAAATTAAAAATCTATAATAATAACACTAATCTAGGTTTATAAACAAAGAGGTACATGAACAAAAAACCTAGTAATGTTTTGTTGGGTATACAGTCCAGTTGCATTTTATTTTTGAAAAAAATATGAGAGTGACCATGTTTTTCATTATGCTAATGATGAACAGAATCATGAATTTCTTTCCTACAACAAAAACAAAAGAATCTTAGTAATAAAGTCAAGCTTTTAAAAATAGGTAGGTCTATTCATATCTATTGGAATATACACAAATTTAAAAACCTAAATGCAATGGCATGTTCAGATGGGTGCCATGGTTGAATATTGGAGTTAATTCCAAGCTAACTTCAAAAGGTTCCATAACACTCTGGAAACATCTTCATTATACTCTCTAATTGACTTAAACAGACTTCATATCAACTGTTTAACACATTTTAACCTACAAATTAACACCCCTTGATCATTCAGATTAACCTTCTACTGTGAGTCAATTACATGACTAAAATAAACTTTAAAAAATTCAGTTTAAAAAAACTAAAACAGAGAAGGAAAAATGCTTTAAAACAAGGATATAAATGTACATTATGACATGGTTGAAACAGATAATCACAAGGTTTAAAATTTCAAGGTAATTGGAAAGCTCATAGAAAAACCACAATGATCATAAAAAGAAAGAGAAAGGGGTAAAGAAGTGAATGGGGGAAGGAGTGCCCAGGTGGCTCAGTAGGTTAAGCATCGGGTTTTGGATGAGGACATGATCTCAGGATCCTGGGAGGCTCAGGTCATGGTACTGGGGTCCTGGGATCGAACCCCTAGGATGGGCTTCCTGCTTAGTGGGGAGTCTGCTTCTCCCTCTACCCCTACAAGCTTTGTTCGTGGCCTCTCTCTGTCAAACCAGTAAATGAAATAAAATTTAAAAAGTTTTTTAAAAAAGAAGTGAATGAGGGAAATAAGTTTGGTATTTATTATGATTCCTAAAAAGAAACAGAAAATGGATTATAGACGGTATCTTTAATAGGTTCATGGGAAGATGAAAACATCAAACGTAAAAATGTAGTAAGACAAGAACAAAAATTCCAGGTAAGATAAAAACCTCTAAAAGTTCTGAAACAAGATTGGAGGTTGAAAGAACAATGACACAACTGAAGTCAAAAAACAAGAAAAACACAGCAATAGGCTTGGTGTCAGCAAAAGTATTTACCTCTTTGTCTCTCCTGCTTAGTGCACTGCCTTGCTCACATTCATGAATTTTCACTGATGATTACCACTGAAAAGAAAAAAGAGAGAAGAGATCAAGGGAAGACAATGAGTAAGGGGCAAAACACAAAAATGAAAAAACATCTCTATTTTTTTTTTTTTAAGATTTCACTTATTTATTTGAGACAGAGAGCAGGAGCGGTGGGGAGGGGCAAAAACAGACTCCCCACTGGATGCAGGGCTCTTTCCCAGGGCCCTGGGATCATGACCCTGAGCCAAAGGCAGACACTTAACCCACTGAGCCGTCCAGGTGCCCCTGAAAAACTATTTCTAAAAGATGAGGTAGGATTGTTCAATAGGGCTGATTCTCAACACCATCTAAAGCTTTATGACAACATGTCAAAAAAGAAAAAAAGATGTTTTTCTAATTCTAACCATTCATTTCTCCCTTCCATTAAAACCTAATACTTCAATATTTAAAACTTAATACTTCCATGCATCTCTCTGGATTAGTCTCATTTGAGTCAAGGATTTCAGTCTTTGAGGAAATCTGCCTTACTCTATTCACATAACTATAAATTAGTAACTGTCACAGCACCTGCATTTCCTCTGGCACAGCACTTCCTACAGTTACTTCAGTTGCTTCTTAAACTCTAAGCTTTTACAAGGGCTACAGCCAACTCTCTTGTGTCTCTTGTAACAAAGCATAGGACACATAGTAGACACAGAAGAAGTGGTTTGTTGATTGAATGAGTAAGTGAGTGAAGGCTCTATCTGTACTCTGTGCATATATGTGTGCGTGCCTTTATCTCATCAGTAGCTAATTCTTGATGGTTTTCATATCCTCTGAGTAGATTTTAAGTTGGAGCATCTAAGAAGCAAGCATCTAAGTTCAGAACATAACCATAATATTTTATGGTACCTAAAGACAGATACAGCTTAGTTCCCTGACGTGAAAATCCTAAAAACTCAGAGAAAATTAAAGAACAGTTGGTAATGAAACCAGTAGAAAGAGCCAAGTAAATATAAATATAATAATAGTATAAAAATAACAGAACTACACTGTATGTATTACAAATATTATCCATCAATAAGAAGCACAATTTACTGGTAAGATCTCAAATTAAGAATTTATTAATGTGTGGTACACATTAGTTAATGGGCAGACAAGTACTAAAGTGATAAATTGAGTACAGATTGATTTTTGCCATCACTACAACTAAGGGTCTTAAATCCCTGCTATATCTATACTATAATAACCATACTTATATCTATATCAATATCTACATTTAACTCTACTTGATCAATCACCTTAATTACTTTTGGTCAGTCATCTTGAAATTAAATATTTAATGTATGCCTATCTTGTTTTTGTTAAATATTCATGACATGGGAATTAAGATGTTTTTGTCCAGGGGCACCTGGGTAGCTCAGTGGGTTAAAGCCTCTGCCTTCAGCTCAGGTCATGATCCCAGGGTCCTAGGATCGAGCCCCGCATCGGGCTCTCTGCTCCACAAGCAGCCTGTTTCCTCCTCTCTCTCTGCCTGCCTCTCTGCCTACTTGTGATCTCTGTCAAATAAATAAATAAAATCTTCAAAAAAAAAAAAAAAGATGTTTTTGTCCATGCTTTTAATTTATCCACAAACTATATAGTTCAACAACGTTTGGGTTTGGGGATCATTTTTCCAACTCAATAGTTTGTAGCTTTCATTTGCTCTGTTTGGAAATTCCTAAAATAAAGCTATGAATTCTTAATGTTCTCCTACTCAAAACTCAGCAACAAATTTTTCACTATTAATTATAATAATAATAAAAGCTAACCTTTCCTGAGTATTTACTACTTTTAGCATTATTATCTTATTGAATCCTCACAACAAACCTAGAGGGAGATACTATTGCTATCCTTTTTTTACAGAGAAAGAAACCAAGGCACAGAGATAAGTTAACTTAAAATGTTCACATAACCAGTAAGAGACAGAGTCTGGATTCAAATCTATGCAGTCTGACTCTATCTAGACTTCATGCTCTTTTTTTTTTTTTTTTTTTTTTTTTTTTTAAAGTAGGCTCCACACCCAGTGCTGATAACAGGGCCCAAACTCAAAGCCCTGAGATCAAGACCTGAGGTGAGATCAAGAGCCAGATGCTTAACTGACTGAGCCACCCAGGCACCCTAGACTTCATGCTCTTAACCATTATGCTAACATAGTTTATATTTCTGCTGTTAGTTTTATATAAAATGGATAAATTGCCTTCTTAAAATAAGATAATGAGAAACATATCATAGATACACATCATTAGCACTTCAGAGATATTGCACAGTAGCTGGCGCTTAGCTTCTCTGAGAGGTGTCCCTGCCCTCACAGAACTTATGGAATTAGGGAATCAGAACTAATGTCCAAAATGTATCATAGTATCCTGTGGGATAGGACAGGTACAGATGAGGAGGACATACAGGACTGGCTATGAAATCTTGAGAGGAGGAACTAATTTCTAAGGACTGAGTCAGCATAAAAGGCTTGATGGAAGAGATGGGTCTGAAAGAGGGATAAAATTGATAGGTGGAAGCAAAGAGCAAAAGTGGTATAAGCCAGGAGAACCACCTGATCAAAATTATGGATGAAGTATCAAGAAAAAAATCCCACTGTTTAAAGGTTTCATGTACGGAGGTAACAGGCGATGAGGCTGGAAAACTAAGAAATTTGGGAGGTAAGTGAATGCCAGGTTAAAGAGTTAGGATTTTATCCTCTACTTTATTTATCTACCTACTTTTTAAAGTAAGATTTACACCTAATGTGGGGCTTGGACTCATGACCCTGAGATCAAGAGCAAGATGCTTTACTGATTGAGCCAGTCAGGCACCTCAAGACATTATCCTTTAGACATGGCCTGTTTGATACAGCAGTCACTAGTTAGATGTGGCTATGGAGCACTTAAGATATGGCAAGTCCAAACTGAATGAGCTGAATAGGTAAAGTACATAGGTGAAATATACTAAATCTTTAAAGATTTAGTATGAAAAACTGTAAGATATCTCATTAATAATTTCTACATTGACTATATTTGGAAATAATCATACTCTGATATATTTGGGTTAAATAAAATATATTATTAAAATTCGTTTCATCTGTTCTTTTTACTTTCCTAATGTGGCTACTGGGAAATTTAAAATCATACATGTGGTTCATATTTGTAGCTTACACCATATTTCTATTGGGCAATAATGCTCTAGAAAATGAAAAATGAAGATAAATGATCAGAGATTCGTGTAAAAAGTATTTTAAGAAGTTTCTTCTGGTATGAGTAAAATCAGACTGTAAGACCACTGATCTGGTTTTTCAATAAGCCTATGGCAGGAGAAGAAAAAACAAAACCAAGATAACAGTGAAGTGGGATTGCTATAGCTTAAAAGATACTAAAGAGAACAATCAAATGTGCTATGTAGGGGCTCCTGGGTGGCTCAGTGGGTTTAGCCTCTGCCTTCGGCTCAGGTCATGATCTCAGGGTCCTGGGATTGAGCCCCACGTTGGGCTCTCTGCTCAGCGGGGAGCCTGCTTCCCCCCCCACTCTCTCCCTGCCTCTCTGCCTACTTGTGATCTCTCTCTGTCAAATAAATGAAATCTTAAAAAAAGAAAATGTGCTGTGTAGCCTATATTTGGATCATGATTCAAGCAAACCAATCATAAAAAGACATTTCTGAGACAATTAAGCAAATGTAAATAGAGACTAGGTATGGTCAATGAATTATTGATTGTTTCAGCAGAATAATGACATTATGGAGATGAAAGAAAAAGTTGCATACTAAAGTATGCTTTATTGATAAGAGCTAAAGGATGTCGAGATGAAATGACTGAACACTTGGTAACTGCTGGGGGAGAAAAAGGTGTACCTCTTACTATCCACATCTAAATAAATACATACATATACACGGCACACACACACACACACACACCCACACACACACACACACACACACAAATATGAAAAAAATGAATTGAGAAAATTGAGATCAGACTTTCCAGAATTCGGCTAAAAAAAGGGAATAAAAGAGGAAACACAATACCCTAAGGAATCATAAATCAAAGTACTGTGCTCTTGCTGTAAAAACTGGAGGATCTGAGCATAACTATCTATGAGGAAGGTGTAAGCTGTGGAAGGGGGCGGTATTTGAGGGTAAAAAGTTCAGGGGGGTGTCATTCGGTACACGAAACTATTCAGAACAACACTCAATTCTGTCATTTAACACATCCCCATAGGGCCACACAAAAGGTACGAAGGTATGTTGGAACCAGGACTAAAATCAGATCCTCTGACTTAGCATAAGGCTCTTTGTGCCTAATTTTAAACATGACAAAATTCTATGGAGAACCCAACTGATACTTTTTGCTTTAGATCTTCTTACGCCATTCAGTTATTCTTCATACCATCCTTAACTAACTGACCATAATAACATATTTTGTTTTATGTACTTAGGTTTATCTTGACTGCTTCTCAAACGGAGATTCCGTAGAAGAGAGAGAAAAAAAGGAAGGAAAGCAAATTGAAGCAGTAATAACAGAACTCTCTGAACATCTACAAGTGAAATTTAAATCACGCTACCAAAATACAAGACGCAGTAACACCTCTGGAAACAGTGCAAGGAAGAGAGGTCAATGTAAGGCAGTTAGTACAGAGAAGAGATAATAAAAGGGAACAGAAGGAAAGGGAGAGGCGAGAAGGAAAAAAAAAAAACAAAAACACAAAGAAAAATCTAACAAAAAACCTACCAGTGCCCATTTGCAGGGCCCAGCAACTCCTCTGAGGCAGTGATATTTTTCCTTTTCCTAAGCTTGAAGGATAGCCTGGCGTCCCTGGTCATAGGCACACTTACTAAGAGTCCTGTTTGCTGCTAGACAATTAGCTTTGGGGCCTTGATCCTTAGTTTGTTTCCTCATCAGCCAAATGAGAATATTAACACCCGCCTTACTAGCTTCACTGGGTTGAAGTGAAAGGGAAGCAAGACAGTACGTATGAAAAGACTGAAAAGTTATAGCTTGCTAAGATCATCTACAAGAAATAATTAAGGTGAACATCTTTTCCAGAAAAAAAAAAATATTAAAACTGGGGGGAAAAAAAACAAACAAACCTTCAATCGGTATAGGTTTTCTCTTAATTTTCGAATAAGAGCGTTCTAAGGGAAGTATAGAGACCGCGGAAGAATTAGATCTCCTCCTGCTTCACAGGCGCCTACCCCACCACTTCCCCCATCCCCCTCTCCTGTCAGAGAACCGTCACCAACCGCGAAAGGTTTGGGAGCAGGGTAGGGTAAGCGGAGGAAGCTTTGGGGAAAGCTGAGGGAGCCCTGGGCGCATGGGAGAGGGTTGGTGCTCGCTGAGGGAGAGAAGAGACGTCACAGTCTCGGAGCTGGGACTAGAGATAGTTAGAATGAAGCGAAGGACACCTTTTTCCACAGCTGGGGCACTTACTGCTTGGTACTCCTTGGAAGGCAAGACTGGTTACCATAGCGACCGCGTCCAGGAGGGCGGAGCGTCTCTTGCGTTGGGTGCCTCGGTCACAAGGGCTCGACGAGAAACGCCGTCACGTCAGGTCCATGACTTCCGGCGGAAGAAGAAGCCGGTTCCGGGTTTTGGCCGACTGCAGGCGAGAAGTATGTGGTGAGGACTCTCTGAAAGTTTGGTAAGTTTGATAAGTTTGATATCGAGTAAAGCCATGAGAGGGTAGCATCCTGGGGCTGGGCGGTACAGCCGAAATGAATACAGTGGATTCCCAGGTCGCAATTTTGAGCCCCCCACCCCACCCCTGGTCTCTTGAAGTTCACAGCTGTGGGAAGATGTTGTTTGATTTTGGGGGCTCCTGGCGAGGTCTCCTCTGTAATCTAGAGGGCTGGAGTATCCTCCTATGAGCAGTTTCGGGTTCTCTTTCTTTGTAAGCGCCAGTAACCGAGGTGTTCGTGCTACCTGCCCGAGCTGTTCCCATAGTATTCTTTTAAGGTAATCTGGAAGAAATGTGAGCTGGAAACATTAAGAGGAATGCTCCCAAATTCATTTTAATTCTTTGCTGTTTTGTTTTGCTTTTAACTTTTTTTAAAGTTTTGTAAACATTTATTAAATTCCTTTTATTGTGTTTAGCATTTATTATATGCGGCTTTTACCGCGCGACTAGCAGAAATACTCTCAGAGGTCATCCACCGCTTTCGTTCATTTTCGAATTCTAATTAATTAATGCTATTGTAATTTATTAATTTAAGGTATAAGCGTATATCATGAAACGTGTAACAGATTTCCCATACTTGTCTGTATATTTAAACATGAAATTCTTGGGGCTTTAAAAATGAGGATATATGTTTCATCAAGTTTGCCTTTTAATCCTGATTTAGTCAACTATTAAATAACTTAAGAAAGTACTTGCTTATTTCTTCAATCCTGCAAACTGTAATGAATTGTCAATATTTTTATTCAGCTGATTTGAGAAGGCGCACTTCTTGTTCAATGGATGATGGCATTTGAGCAGATCCCAAAAAAGGATTGGTACAGCATTCTGGGGGCAGACCCATCTGCCAGTGTGTCAGACCTAAAACAAAAGTATCAAAAACTCATATTAATGGTAAGTGTTTTCTTGCAGATTTAAGTCATGGGGAGAAAACAGTTTTTTGTTGTTGTTGTTTTTTTAATGTGACCAGAGATTTAGGTTTCTATAAAATGAATGGGAATATCAAAGCAGGAATTAGGGTATTAATGTGGTTAATTGAAAGTTTCAGTAACATTGTAAAAACAAATTTTATTTTTTATTTTTAAATTTGAGGTGGGAAAACATGGTGGCTTGGAGCAGGAGATCTTAGTCATGCTGGTTGAGTTAGAATCCAGACTCTACCACTAATTGTGGGAACTTGGGGCAAGTTACTTTCCCATGTATGTGCCTCAGAGAGAATGAAATGGAAAAGTCCAAGTAAAATGCTTAGACATATGTCATGTAATAAGTAGTGTTAGTTATCTAGTTACCGCTAGCTACATGTGTCTATTGAACACATGAAATGTGACTAGTCCAAAATGAAATTTCTAATAAATGTAAAATAACATTGAAGACTTAGTACAAAAAGAAAATATAAAATAATTTAAACTTTATGTTGATTACATGTTGAGGTGATAATATTTTGGGTTTATTTTATTTTATTTTGCATATTTGGTACATAATATATGCACATATATTTCCATATGGTATAATTATATTATCAAAATGGATTTAATCTGCTTTTTACTCTTTTAACAAAGCATTTGTGGCTTATATTTGTACTTTTTGTTATGTTTTTATTAAATGGTGCCAGTTTAGGCCATTTATACACTGTTTTTCTTCTGATTCCATTCTTTGGTGAAATGAGTTGTGGTATTTATATAGTATCTTTCTGGACTGTTACTTTAACTTTTTTTCAACCTGTATTGCAATGTGTCTTAAGTCAATATCAGTAATTCTTTAATGGTTTCCAATTAACCCAGTTTACAAAAGGGGTAGAGGACTGTTACTTGTATAGCATTAGTTGTTTCTATAGTTTTTGTCAAATAGATCCGAGATTTTGCCAAAACTGTTAGTGTTTGTTATGAGAGATGTAGATGTTTTACTGTCAGGAATGTGTTAATAAAGCCTTCTTTAGAAATCTTTAAGATTTCTTTTGTCTCAGAATTTTTAGGATTTCTCTGAGTAAAGTCAAGTAGACTTGATTGAAAACTTTTTCCTAATACTGAATCATCCTTGTGCCTCATTTAAACTGAGAGATAAGGCTGGAGAAGTAGACTGGGTCTAGATCATCCAGGCCATTTAGGCCATGTCGACCTTTAATTTGGCAAGGAGAAGCCATTTACACCTAATACGGTAGAATCTGCCAAACACCAAATGAATCAATCATTTTGCATACCCTTCTGTAATGTATGAGAGAGTTCCATTTGCTCTAGATCTTCACCAACATTTGATGCTATTTGTCTCTTTCATCTATTGGGGGTTTCTCAATTTTGCCACCATTGATGACATTTTGGACAGGATAATTCTTTGTTTTGTGGGGCTGTCCCGTGCCTTATAGGATGTTTAGCAACATTCTAGATGCCTGTAACAACTAAAAATGCCTGCTGGGGGTCAAAATTGCCAACTCTCCATCCAGTTGAGAATCACTGCACAATTCTGTATTTATAGTGATCTCTCAAGTGGTTGTATTTTGTATTTCTCTGATTAATGATCTTAAGCACTTTTAAATGTTATTAGTCATTTGTATAATTATCTTTTCTGAAGTGTCTTTTTAAAAAATTAAGTACATTCTTGATCTTGTGTATGGTATACCTTGTGTATATTTTCTCCTAATCTGTGGCTTGCCAGCTCATTTTCTTAGTGGTGTTTTTGCACCACTGTAGTGCATAAGCAGAAGATTTTTGTTTTGGTGAAATACTATTTATCACATGTTTGTTTTTTGATTAGTGCTTTCTGTATTTTTAAGAAGGTCATGAAAATGTTTTTCTCTATTAGCTTATAGTTTGCTTTTACCTTTAGACCTCTGACTTTTTTGGTAAGGTTTATTTATTTGAGAGACAAAGAGTGAGAAAGAGAGAGCAAGCATTAGCAGGGAGAGGGGCAGAGGGAGAAGCAGGCTCCCCGCTGAGCAGTGAGCCCAATGTGGGACTTGATCCCAGGACCCTGAGATCATGACCTGAGCTGAAGGCAGACACTTAATCGACTGAGCCACCCAGGCATCCCTTAACCTGTGACCCTTTTGTATATGGTGTGAGGGGGGGGAGGTCCCCCCTCCCCCCTCCCCGTGCAAAATGGATATCCAGCTGTTCACTTATTGCAAAGATTTTCTTCTTTGTGTTGTTTTGTCAATGTCTTGGCAGTGGGGGAATCTCTTTCTAGATTCTATTTTGTTTGGTATATTTGTCTGTCCTTTTACTAATATCTCTGTCTTGATTACTGTAGTTTTATAGTCTATTTCAAAGTCAATGTGATGTTAAGTTCTCTAACTTTATCCTCTTCTCAAGTTTATTCTGGTTATTTTGGTTTGTTTGCTGTCCATAGAAATTTAGAATCAGCTCCTAAATTTCCATTTAAAGAAATCCTGCTTGAATTTTATTTTATTTTATTTATTTATTTTTTTTTTTTAAAGATTTTATTTATTTATTTGACAGACAGAGATCACAAGTAGGCAGAGGCAGGCAGAGAGAGAGGAAGGGAAGCAGGCTTCCCGCTGAGCAGAGAGCCCGAGGCGGGGCTCAATCCCAGGACCCTGGGATCATGACCTGAGCTGAAGGCAGAGGCTTTAACCCACTGAGCCACCCAGGCGCCCCTCCTGCTTGAATTTTAATTATGACTGTATTGACCATTTGGCAGATTGGACATTTAACAATACTGTGTCTTCTAACCCATGAATATATTGTCTCTCCATTACATAAATTATCTTTAATTTCATTCAGAAATATTTTGTAGCTTCCAGTGTAGTACTACACATTGTATTTATTTCTAGTTTTTTGGTGTTTTTGGTTCTATTGTAAATGGTTATTTTTTTAAATTTTATTTCCTAATTATTGATTGATAGCATATAGAGCTATAGTTTATTTTTATTTTATTTATTTGAGAGATAGAGCATGCAGGGCAAAGAGGAGCCAGGAGGAGAGGGAGAATCTCAAGCAGACTCCCTGCTGAGTGTGGAGCCTCGCATTGTGGGGCTTGATCCCATGATCATAAGATCATGACCTGAGCCAAAAAATCAAGTCAGCCACTTAACCAGCTGAGCCATCCAGGCACCCCAGAAGTATACCTTTTTTTTTTTTTTTTAAGATTTTATTTATTTGACAGACAGAGATCACAATTAGGCAGAGAGGCAGGCAAGGCAGAGAGAGAGGAAGGGAAGCAGGCTCCCTGCCGAGCAGAGAGCCCGATGCAGGACTCGATCCCAGCACCCCGGGATCCTGACCTGAGCCGGAGGCAGAGGCCTTAACCCACTGAGCCACTCAGGCGCCCCGTATACTTTATTTTTATATACTGATCTTGTATCCCACAATCTTGCTAAATTTGCTTGCTAGTTGTCTCAGAACTGTCTTTGTAGATTCCTTAGAGTTTTCTACCAACACAGGTATGCCACTTGGCAACTAAAGAGAGCTTGAATTCTTTCTGTAATTCATACGCTTTATATTTCTTTTTCTTGCCTTACTGCTCTAGTAATGTACTTCTATTACAGTGTTCAGTTGAAGTGGTGAGAGGAAATATCCTTGTGTTTTTCCTGATTTTAGAGAGATAACTTTCAGTATTTTACCATTAAGTTTATTATTAGCTGCGTGTTTTTTTTTTTAGATGCCATCTTTCAGGTTGGGGGTATTATTCCTATTCCTAGTCAGCTAAGAGTATGTATCATGAGTGAGTATTGAACTTTGCTAGTTGTTTTTTTTTTTTCCCCACATTTATTGAAGTCTGTAGTATTTATTTTCCTCCTTTAATGTATATGTACTGAATTACATTGGTATTTCTTATGTTAAACCTGTTTTGCTTTCCTAAGATAAACAAATCTTATTTGTACATGAAGTATTATGCCTTTTATATATTGCAGGATTCCAGTTGTTATTTTGTTAAGGATTTTTATGTCTAGAGTCATATATATTCGTGTATTTTCCTTGTATGTCTTTGTCTAAATTTGGTATCACAGTTATGCTGACTCCATGCAATAATGGGGGAGTGATTCCCATTTTCTGTCTTTTCTGGAAGAGTTTGTATAAGAATGCTATTTCTTTTAAAAAAAATTTTTAATTGAAGTTTAGTTGACATAGTGTTACATAGTGATTAGACAATTCTATACATTATACAGTTGCTTACCACTGTAAGTGTGCTTACCATCTGGCACCATACAATGTTATGGGATTATTAACTATACTCCCTACACTGTATTTCTCATCCCTTTGACTTATTTATTTTATAACTGGAAGTTTGTGCCTCTTCATCCCCTTCTCTGTTGTGCCCATCATCCCCATTCATCTTTCCTCTGGCAACTACCAGTTTGTTCTGTGTATTTGAATCAGTTTCTGTTTGTTCATTTGTTTCTAGATTCTACATATAAGTGAAATCATATAGTTTTTGTCTCTGTGACTTGTTTCACTTAGCATAATAACCTCTAGGTCCATCTGTGTTGTTGAGAATGGCAGTATTTCATTCTTTTTTTAACAATTGGGTAATATTCCATTATTTATACACCACATTTTTATCCATTTGTCCATCGATGGACATTTGGGTTGCTTCTGTATCTTGGCTATTGTAAATAATGCTGCAGTAAACACAAGGGTGCATGTATCTTTTCAAATTAGTGTTTTCATTTTTAGGGGGTAAATATTTTAAGAATTTCTCCATTTCATTTAAGAAGTCAAAGTTACTATAATGTTCATACTATTTTCTTATTATCCTCTTACTACTGAAAGATTTGTAGTTATGTTTTCATTTTCATTATTTATATTGGTAATTTGTGGTTTCTATTTCTTTATTCCTGATCAGTCTTGCTAGAGGTTTAGACATTTTTTAAATCTTGGCCAAGAACCCACTTTTACTTTGTTGATTTTGTATTGTTTGTCTATTTCTCTTTATTTGAT